CGTGACGTGCTATGGGTATGAAGAGCGATTGGAATACTGCACTGACAGCGGCTGGGGAGTGCATGACTGCACACATTCAGAAGATGTAGGTGTAGCATGCGACGCCACAGGTGAGAATACATAAGGGCGGATCAAGAATATTGTAGCATAACTAGTCCAGTAAGTTAGTAAGACATAGAGGGCGTTACTGATAATTGTGAAATATATATGTGCATGGACATCGTAAGAAGTCGGTCAGTCGATGTTGAGCTGTCGTTGCGACAGGTACAAGAAACTATATAAAGTTACCCAAACTGCCAACACTCTGTAAGTGTTATTTCTTTAGTCCTGTCAGATAATCTGTGATTGCGGGAGTAAGTGAATGAGAGCTAATCCACGTTATTTCTTACACGATATACTTTTGTGAGAGCCCACTGAGAGATATAGTTGATGAATGATTGTCGAGAGCGTGGACCGGATTTTGACAGACTGCAAGGCAGAACGCTACCCCGGCAGAGCCCGGTTACGCCACACTGGTGGCAGCGGTGGGATTGAAGCAACGTGGCCGAGCAACTCAGAACGAACTCCTCCAATAGCGAACCCGGAAGTAAATTGGCGCCTACGCATACAGTGACAGTGCCTACACGTAGGAGGTATAGCGCCTATACGTGTTAGGTATAGCGCCTATAGGCGCCACGTTGGAGGTATAGCGCCTACAGGCGCCATGTTGGAGGTATAGCGCCTATAGGCGCCACGTTGGAGGTATAGCGCCTACAGGCGCCACGTTGAAGGTATAGCGCCTACAGGCGCCACGTTGAAGGTATAGCGCCTACAGGCGCCACGTTGTAGGTATAGCGCCTACAGGCACCACGTTGGAGGTATAGCGCCTATAGGCGCCACGTTGAAGGTATAGCGCCTATAGGCGCCAGGCAGTGACAGCGCCTACGCGTTGGAGGTATAGCGCCTATATAGGCGCCGGCAGATATAGCGCCGAACTGGAGTTTGTGTTGTCATAATTATAATAGAGAATCCTATAATGGCTGCTCAACGAGTGACTATGGAGGATGAAATTGTGATGCTTGCAGCGGAGGTTCAGCGTGGAGATGAGGATCTTCGACAGTCTAAGATGGAGAACCAACAACTCTTAGAACAGAATCGACTTCTCAGTCTGCAAGTGGAGAGGCTACATATGGAGCAATCTCCAATAAGTTTTCCCAACTACTTCCAGGGTGAGACAGCGCCCACTACAGTTCGCAATGAACAGGATGTGACGGAGGCTCATCCAGGAGCCAAAGAGGGAATTTTTCGTGCGGCAATGTCGGCTCCAACCAGCACTCCTACAGCTGCTCTTTTAGCAGATAATGGGACGCCAGTGGCAAGCCTCCTACATAGACATGATTTGGACATGCCTAAGGTTGACACACCCAGAATGAGACCCTTAAACTATGAGATGCGCAGACCCGAGGTGCTGAAAGATGGAATGGGATTTCAGCCACATTCAGTCGTCAAGCTGAATAAGCCTAACATAACTCCTGACAGATTTGATGGGAAGACCCCATGGAGGGATTATGTCAGCCATTTTGAAGCCTGTCGGATGGCAAATAGTTGGAGTGATGGTCAGGCGAAAGTGTTTCTTGCAGCCAGTCTCAGGGGGGCCGCAATAAAGATCCTGGGTAACAAGACAGTAGATACGTCACATATCACATATCACGAACTGGTGAATCTCTTAGGGAAGAGATTTAAGCCCGGACAGTTAGCTGAGAATTACCTCCTGGAACTGCTACATAGGCGCCAGGGGCCAAGAGAGACCCTACAGGAGTTAGGCCAGGCCATAAGGGATTTGTCTACATTGGCATATCCAGAGCTAAGTGAAGATGCTCAGGATCGGTTGGCTAGGACACATTTTTCGGAAGCAATAGAAGACCAATCTATCAGAGAAGGAGTTTTGCGATCAAAGCCAGCAACAATGGATGAAGCCATTCAGGCAGCCCTTGCAACAGACAACTTCTTCAAGCTAGAAGAACAAAGGTCTGGCCGGAGACAAAGGCAGTCAAGGGCTGTGGATGTTGATTCAGAGGTGACAATCAATAAGATCTGGGAAGAACTCAAAAGGATGGAAGAGAGATTTCTCAAACAGGAAACACCCATCAGAACTAGTGAACCAAGACAATCGAGACCCAATGCCTACAAGCGGAGGAAAGCAACAGAGACTGATGAGTGCTACAAATGCCATGAGCATGGACACTTCCAATGGGATTGCCCTCAGGGACGGGGAAGTCAGAAGCCTTCGGGAAACGGGACCCAGCCGACTCAGGAGCCCGGGAGAAGGCTGGACGAGAACACGGGCTCAGGAGAGACACAGAGTCTCTAAGTGGAGCACCTTCTATAAGACAAGTAACTACAAATTACAGATCGGACAAGGCACGTTGTGGACTCTTTGTTGAAGTAGAGGTTAGGGGGGTGAAGGCAAGACTTTTGGCAGATTGTGGAGCAACGGACACAATTTTGTCTTCATCCTTGTATCATCGGATCTCTTCAGCAAAGAGACCAAATCTCACTGGGGTCAAGGTCAGGAATGCAGACGGTAGTAGCATGGAGACATTAGGTATTGCTTGGCTTGAGCTTGGGTTGGGAAAATGCAATTTTCTCCTCCAGGTTGTTTTCGGTAATACCGATCAAATTATTATTATTATTATTATTTATTCGGCAAAGGAAAACATTACATATCAGTGTACACAATACAAAATAAGACATAGTTATCAACCATTCGAACGCCAGGGACAGAAAAAGTTAACTAAATTACTGTGGCATAAAGCCTCCTGTCCCAATTCCAATGGATGATTTACATAAAACAGAAATAAGAAGTTTAGCCTTGGGTTACCTTCAAAGTTGAAAAGTAATTAGGGCCTATTAAACAATTATAAGTGATGTAATTAAATGCAAAATGCGGTATCATTATTTCAGATACATTATATAATATTAATCAATTACAAACAAATGTATAGGCTAATTAACATTTGGCACATTGAATAAGTGTAGGAGATGTTGCTGTATATGGCAACATATTAAAATATAAAATAGCATATTAAATAGCATATTATAACCGTATCTCCCCTGACAGCAAGGAAAGAAGATACTATAGAAAATGAAAGGAAACTAAAAGAGACAAAGGATTATCAGTGATACATTTTCTTGAAATCAAAATTACAGTGTATATTTAGGCCTGTACCATAACAGGATTCGACATGACCACACAATCCCAATATATATATATATCCCATTCAAGGTTACAAATATTCATAACACTGACCTATACCAAAAGATAAAATTCCAATGAAATATATATGACCCATAAAAGATACAGGTTACAAATATCTATAATACTGACCTATACCCATGATACCGGAAGAACAGTTCCATAACAAAAGAACATCGTTATTTTGCAATTATAAACACGTGCGTGTTAACAATATAATAAGCGGGGGAAATATTAAGGAGGAAAAGAAGCAAGAAGAGGCGGAAGCAGTAGAATTTAGTATTCAGTTTAATATAAAACCACTCAACCGCATCCCATAGGAAAGTGAAAAGTATGCCGCAGACCTGCCGCAGACTTTTAGTCTGCAGCAAAGAGTATGCCGAAGTATGCGGCAGAAAGAAATTTTGCTGCAGACTTGCCGCATACCAGTATGCCACAGGAACAGTCTGCGGCAGATCTGCGGCAGGATGAAATTTTGCTGCAGACTTGCCGCATACTAGTATGCCACAGGAACAGTCTGCGGCAGATCTGCGGCAGGATGAAACTTTACTCCAGACTTGCCGCATACTAGTATGCCACAGGAACAGTCTGCGGCAGATCTGCGGCAGGATGAAATTTTGCTGCAGACTTGCCGCATACTAGTATGCCACAGGAACAGTCTGCGGCAGATCTGCGGCAGATCTGCGGCAGGATGAAACTTTGCTCCAGACTTGCCGCATACTAGTATGCCACAGGAACAGTCTGCGGCAGATCTGCGGCAGGATGAAATTTTGCTGCAGACTTGCCGCATACTAGTATGCCACAGGAACAGTCTGCGGCAGATCTGCGGCAGGATGAAACTTTGCTCCAGACTTGCCGCATACTAGTATGCCACAGGAACAGTCTGCGGCAGATCTGCGGCAGGGTGAAACTTCGCTCCAGACTTGCCGCATACCAGTACGCCACAGGAACAGTCTGCGGCAGGTCTGCCACAGGAAATCCCATTAAAGTCTAATAGGGCCAATTGAAACCAATCATCTCATGCATATTCATTATTACTTTACACGTGTGACAGAAAAATACATCTATCATGATTTGTTAAGCAAATTAAGACAATGCACATCATTTTTGTGATTTCTATTTTCCTTTTGCCATTATTAACCAATAGATTATTTTGTCTGATCATGTTACAATAACATTCACGTTTAAGCAATAGATATATTGATTACTAACCAAGAAACTATGATTACTAACCAAGAAACAATATACATATTTAGTATATATATGTGTACGAGCCTGTGTCACTTTAAATGTTACTCATGAATACACTTCAAATGATCAATGTGATGAAGTTAATACAATTGAGAATAGAATACACCTAATTGGTAATATCGATATATATTGGTATTACCTAATTGGTAATATCGATATTGCCAATATCGATTATGAAGTATCAATTAGTTTATCACTGGTTCTTCTACATGCATACTTTATTGCCACGTACTGGATATGAAAGAGTATGCGGCAGGTCTGCAGCAGGTCTATATGAGATATGAATATTCATGACGAAGAGTCTGCGGCAGGTCTGCAGCAAGTCTGCGGCAGACCTGCCGCAGACTCTTCATCATACTGAAAGAGTATGCGGCAAGTCTGCGGCAGACCTGCCGCAGACTCTTCATCATACTGAAAGAGTCTGCAGCAGCATGCCGCAGACTTGCCGCATACTCTTTCAGTATGATGAATATGATGAGTATGATGAGTATGATGAATACTGAAAGAGTATGCGGCAGGTCTGCAGCAAGTCTGCGGCAGACCTGCCGCAGACTCTTCATCATACTGAAAGAGTATGCGGCAAGTCTGCGGCAAGTCTGCGGCAAAACTAATTTGCATGTGAAA